CTGTGCATTAGTTCAGAGCATCTATGTATCAAGTTTCATTAACATCTAATACATTGCTCTTTAGTTATCAATCGAACAGTCAAGGAACAGCTACAAAATAGCTAATTATCATGCAAATCATGTAATTAATATGTATGAATTTCAGCTAAAACCTAATCAAATCTGTGCATTAACCCAGAGTATCTATACACCAAGTTTCATTAAAAACCAACATACGGTTCTTGAGATATCTGTGGAGCAGTCAGACACACACACACACATTTCTGTTTTTGTATTACTCGAGTATTAAAAATATTTACAGTTGTATATACATGTTAAAAACTCGCATAGCGATGGGAAAGGATCGAGTGAAATTATATCGAATGAAACTATAATTATAATAATATCGATTGAAACAATAAATGACTTAATATAAGCGAGTAAGTGCGAAATATTTAAAGTAATATAACGAGAATCAAAAGTGCAAATAGTAGTGATACTTAAAATTTGTAATTGTCGAGTACGGAAATTAATGATAACGCGTGTGCTCGTCCCTTTGCCAGTAGTTTCCATCTAGTTCAGCCATCTTCAATATAGTCAGGGAACTCTAATTCCTGTCCATTCAGTGTAGACAAAGCATCATTTACACACCATTTTGTTTGGAATAGGTTCAGGATTTCACTAGTAGGTGGTAATTGTACTCATCCTTGACTCTGCGTCTCGTACGGAATTTGAAGCACTACACTGCATTATTCTGTGGTGAATTTCTGATTTTGTTAAAGCGTGTGATGTGTATAGCTGCTTTCACAGTGGTAAATAAATAACAAGACAGACGATGTATATCTGTGATTGTTTTATTTCTTGGGGGTCCGAGAATGTAGTGTGCCAAAGGAATGTTGTCATGACCAGTCAGCCTGTGCATAATCGATTTGAGTGTATTAAAAAGTGGATTAAGTCTGATGCATTCACAGAATGTGTGAACGAGGTCGTCTTTTTCACCACAGAATGCACAGTTGTCAGTGGTTTGTAGTTTTGATTTTAGTATAAACCCTCCTGTGGGGTAAGCGCCGTGCAAGAGGCGCCACTGAAGATCTCCATCTTTTTGTGTGATGGGTGTGATATAGCAGTCACTGTATACGGGTGTATGTGCGTTCTGTAATGAAAGAATATCTGTCCAAATGTTGTAGTTGTTCTGATGTTTTGACAGTTGACTTGCATGTATCAAGTATTTATAAATGGCTCCCTTGGTGAGCTTGTACAGTGGGCAGTTCAGTATAATGTCATCTGCATCGTCTCTGTATACTAGTATTAGTTCCAGCGAGTAGCGGATTTCTGCATCTTGGGTGTCATTTTCAGCGTAATTAGCAATGATTTCTTGGAATTTTGCGGGGATTGCTCTGTGAGATATACCTAACGCTATATTTAGCAGTCTTTTTGAATAGATTGTTATTTTATTTTATTTTATTTTGTAGCGCGTCACTGTCTAACCAGGAGTTGGATGAAACAAGATCACCAATTTTGGTGATACCCGCATCACGGAAGTGAGTGAAGGTAAGTGGTGTATTTTGAATGGGGTGTAGGACTAGTTTATTATATAGAAAGGGTTCTTGACATACTTTATTGTATGTGGTTGGCATATCTTTCCTTATTGTTGTTATTGGGGACCAAGTTTGTAATAGGTCACATTAGTATTCGGGGGTGTTTATAAAAGAATATGGGACATTTGTAATAAATAATTGTTTGTCGTATTTCAGATTGTTTACTTCATTGAGGAAATGGGAGGTAAAAGTGAAACAAGGGTGGTTAGAGTCAAGATATAGATACCTCTGGATGTACTGTATTTTGAAAGAGGAAATACGTGTGAATAAGTCCTTGTCCACCAAGAGAGACAGGTAAGTAGACTGTTTCAGCTGGAAGCCAATGGCGCCCCTGCCAAAAAAAGTCAAGAAACAGCTTTTGTGTCTGGTTAATGATATATTTAGGGGGACACAGACAAACAAGCTTGTGTATTAGTTTGGAGGCGACCAGTTGATTAACAACTAAAGCTCGCCCTCTGTACGACATTGAGGACGCATATTTGGTAAACCAATCCAACTTGGACTCTGTTTTGTCTATGATGTCTGACTAATTTTTCTCTACCCATGAGAGTTCATTGCCAAGGAAAGTCCCAAGGAATTTGAAGCCAACATTGTTCCAATTTATGTTTAAAGGGTGGTCATTCCTCGTTTTCCA